CGAGGCTGGGTAGCAAATGTCAGGACACCAAGACCTCACGTGTGTCACAAAAATTGCCTCACAGACCCTGGTAGGGTAAGATGCCATGGGGGTGCTGATTTTAACAACTGGTTCTCTGAGGAAAAAAAATACTGATACCTTTTAAAGTTTAATCTTCATTATTAACATTTTAACCTTCACTTTAGGTCTAGACAATCAACAAAACAAGAAATTAAGCTGAGATTTGTAGCATCTGCTGATTTGGGAGATATATAATGATCATGTTGAAAATTTAACAACCAGCCCTATGATTCTAGCAGATTCTTGTACACTCCCGGCCTTCTAATTCCACAAGCAGATATTCATTTATGTCCTTTGAGTGTATGATCCTACCTTAAATCATTCCAAGTTACCTTATAGGTTCCCCCTCTTTCCCCCAGGGTCTACAGACTATGGGTCTATGGGTGGAGAGCCTCTGGACAAGTAGATCTCTAAGATTGTTTGGGTTGAAATTGTGTTCCCTCTTAAGATATTGTGTGTGTGTGTGTGTGTGTGTGTGTGTGTGTGTGTGTGTGTGTGTTGCAAGATGGGGAATGAAGGGATAAATAGAACCTTTCTGTAAAATTCACAATTGCCTCAGTAGGAATGAAAATTCCCTTCTTAATTATCCTTTCTTTCCTTGATTACCTGCTCAGTAATAATGGTATAAAGGTATATACATAATTTTTTTAGACATAATACTATTGAGACTACAGCACAGTGTAAACATAACTTTTATATGCACTGGGAAACAAAAAAATTCATGTGATTCCCAGATCATTGTATATTTACTTCATTGCAGTGGTCTGGAATTTAACCTGCAATATCTTTGAGGTATGAGGTATACCTTTCTGACTGTTTCACCTCTTCGACTTAGTTACCTCACATTTAGCAGAAAACATATGGGTCTTGAAGTCAGAGACCCCAGTGTGAATTGTAGCTTTGATTCTCAGCACCAGTATCATCTTGGACAACTCACTTCTTTATTCTCATCTATAAAATGTGAAGGTTGGATGAGTTCATGGGTCTCAATCTTTTTAATACCAAAATTTTCGGGTTGCCCTCCCCCTGCCCCTAGTCATAGTTGTACTGTTTTTGTGGTTCAGTCATTTCAGTTGTGTCCAACTCTTCACGACCCTACTTGGGGGGTTGTTTTGGCAGAGATACTGGAGTGGTTTGCTACTTCCTTCTCCAGCTCATTTTATAGATGAGGAAACTGAGGCAAACTGGGGTAAGTGACTTGCCCAGGATCACATAGCTAGTAAGCATCTGAGACCAGATTTGAGCTCAGAAAAATGAATCTTCCTGATTCCAAGCCCAGTGCTCCATGCACTATGATGCCACCTAGCTGCCCCAGTTGTGTTATCAGTATCTATTAACTGAAAGATCTTAAGAGCAAAAGGCTACTGTGAATGCAGCCATGCTTCTAATGGAAAAGTAGTAATTTATAGTGTGTAAAATATGCCTTTTCCCTCAGCTCCAAAGGTTTTATTCCTTTCTTTGACTCTGATACTTATATGCTTGCTTACTTATCATGCTGAATTTTTTGATGAGAGGGCTGATATGGTTTCCCACAACTCATGAATTCTCAGAGGGCTGGTTTGGAGTCATCCCACCTCTGACACTTATCATCTGTGTGACCTTGGACAAATCATTTAAAATTTCTGGGCCACAGTTTCCTCATCAGTAAAGTGAGAGCGTTGGACTAGATGACCCCTAATGCACCATCTGATCCTATGCCCCCGATCAGTGGCATTCACTGTGTGGCCTCATGCACCCCTCTGAGTTGATCTACAACCCATGAGTTGAGGATCATTGGAGATAATGATCTCCAAGGTTTTTTCTAACTCTAAAACTTATTGACTGATACAATATAGAGAAAAATTCTCATACTATCTTACTAAGAGGGCAAAACTTTGTGAAAACTCAAAGAACTAAATAAATACGAGTTATTATTATCATCTTCCCCTCTGTCCACTCAAAGACTGACGTTCATTTCTCTCTTGTCTCTCCCTCATCCTTCTCAAGCATTTCTTAGGTGTTATACACTTCTTGTCCCCAGGGTGATGAGAAACCGACACAGAAAGCTATGATATCTATTATCAGGCATACGGATAGACACCAGATCTATGATTTCAATTGTTTAGGGAGCTCCTGGATAAGGAAATTCACTTCACCAATGCAAACCAGCAACTTTTCTGCAATTTATAATCTAAGAGAATTGCCTAGAACAGAGGACTCAAATATTCAGTCACAACTCTTTCAAGTGCAGCCTGAATCAAATTAAAATCTAGGTGGAAATTTTCTTTAAATTCATTATTTTATTTTTTACTATTTTTTAAAAAAAATTAACTTCCAAATTCTCTTGCTCCTCCTCCACTCATTGAGAAGGTAAGTACATAGGAAATCATGTAAAACATATGTTCAGGTTAGCTATGTAGTCCAAAAACCCCAAATAAAAGCAAGAAACAAAGAAAAGGGGAAAAAAAGCATGCTTTAATGTGCTACTCAGAGTTCATCAGTTCTCTCTCTAGAAGGGGATAGCATTTTTTTTTTATTATGGGACCTTTGGAATCATCTTGAATCACTGTTTTGAATCAGAGTAGCTAAGTCTTTCACATTTGATTATCCTTACAATGTTGCTGTTAGAGTGTACAATGTTCTTCGGGTTCTGCTCACTCCACTTTGCATCAGTTCATGTAAGTCTTCCCAGGCTTTTCTGAAACCATCCTGCTCACCACTTCTTACAGCACAATAGTATTTCATCAGAATGTATACCACAATTTGTTCAGCTGTTCCGTAATTGATGGGCTTTCTCTGAATTTAAATAAAAATATTTAACAAAATAAGTAGAAATACAATAAAACATAGATAATGTTTCTTTGTGATTTTCTGGCCTGCAGGGATCCTTACGTATGGCTTAATGGCCCCCATTTCCATTTGAATGTGGCACCACTGGCCTAGAGCACTGAGACCTGCCCGGGTTTCCAGAGCCAGTATGGACTCCAACCCATGTCTTACTGACACTAAGGTCAGGTTTCTGTTCATGATGCCATGCTGCCTGTCATCTAACGTTACACGATGAATATGCTACAGAGAGCAAACAAAGTGAGGTGCCAGGGAAAGCCATTACTTACTAAGGGGAGCAGGGAAGGCTTCATGGAGGAGAGAGCATCTGAGTTGCAAGTTGAAGGACAAATAGGATTTTGACAGACAAAGAGGAAGAGGGAAAACATTTCAATTAAGGGGAAAATGGAAGACATTGAAAGAGGTGGGCAGGGAATTCTGGAGGACAGAGAGTGTCCCATAATATATGGTGGAAAGCATTGGGATGTGAGGAATGGTAACAGTTTGGTTCCCACAGAATTGATAAGAAAACAGGACAGGGGGAGAGTAGGTTATTGATTGGTTAATTGATTTCCTGGTTTATTGGTTTATACAAATATGTAAACAAGATATGGGAGTACATTAGGCCATGTCCCCGAAAGTATCTTGTTTATCCAGGCTTTCTGGCTCTCCCCTCCTTTTTTCTTACTTTCCTGCTGAACCAACAGTTCCTTGTTTTGAGCCTTTTTGCAAACCTTGCTGCTGGGGAAGTTTCCTCTCTTAGACTGTGAACTCTGAAGCCCAGCCAATGGGAAGAGGAGCTAGTGGGAGGGTGGAGATTCTGCCTTAGGGTCTACATAAACTGGCTTTCAGCTCCACTCCCTCACACACCCTGGCTGGAGCCATCTTGAGGGAATGCTGGGTGTGTCCTTTCTCATGAGAAAGCAATAAAACTCCTTTTTGCCTTTCTTAAGAAAAAGTCTCTGATTTGATTATTTTGGGGGTCACAAACACTCCACATAGGAAGATAGCCTGAAAAGGAATTTGGTGGCATGAAAGATGATGGTGGTGTTCTACAAGTCAGCCCTTCCCAGGAATTGGAAAGGATTCCTTCTTTTCATGATTGAAGTTCTTTTCTCTTTTGAGTCTTTTTCAGTCAAAAGTCCAGCAAATACAGGGCAACAGTTGAAAGCCATCATGACAGTTAGATTAGAAGGACTTGTATTAATTCCTTGACCCTAAATCAAATGAGATAACATATGTAAAGCTTTGGCAAATCTGAAAGCATTATAGAAGTATTAGACAACATCGTCATCATCACCATGTGCTTCCCATATGACCTCAGAAAAATTATTCAAACTCTCTGGGCCTCAGTTTTCCTACTTGTTGTTGTTTTGCTTAGGCAATTGGGGTTAAGTGACTTGCCCAGGGTCACACAGCTAGTAAGTGTCAAGTGTCTGAGGCTGTATTTGAACTCAAGTCCTCCGACTCTAAGGCTAGAGCTCTATCCACTGTGCCACCTCATTGCCCATTCCCTACTTGTAAAATATGTTGATGATCTCCAAGGTCAGATTAAGCTCTATATGAGTGGGTCTTAACCTGGGGTCCATGAATTAAAAAAATACTTTGGCAACTGCATTTCAATATGATTAGATTCCTTTGTGATCTTATATATTCTATTTATGCAGTTAAAAACATTCAAAGATGAGATCCATCAGCTTCACTAGAATGGCCAAGATAGTTAAAGGGTCCATAACACAAAATAGATGAAGAATCCCTGCTCCACTTCCTAAGAGCCAGGCGCTATGCAGCAACGGCACTCTCAGCAACATCTCAAAATCCAGGGGCTTCTGTGAAGGCTTTGGGATTGGCTCATTTCCGTGGAACATGAGTGGGGGATGTGGTTGATGAAGGTAAAGTTCTTCTAGCCTAGCCTAGTTTTTGTTACAGATGCTGGTGGCAATGTTCTCTGGACTTCCTAAATAGAAAATTTGCCCTATCTTTCTTTCTTCTGAACTGGGCTCCATTTGCCATCCCCAAGCCCTTTCCTTCACTCCCAACCTGAGATCCCACAGTCAGGAGGGGAACTTGACATTATTCCCAAGGGCATTCACCTCCCTTTCCTCCCACCTTCCCCAACCTCATTCATTACTAACTTTTAATGCACATCAAACCACAATCAGAACAGCACTTTTCGTTCCATTCACAGTCTCTGTCTCTCTGACACAGGGGTTTCTTAATTGCCTTGCAAGAGGATGGCTGAGGCGGACAGTCCCAGGGCTTAACTGTATAGCAACACAAGAAAGCAGACAACTCCATGACTTAGGCCTAGAACTTAGCTCTCAGTGGTCTTAACCAGTGCTCAGGCTTTCACCTTTAATAGTCAACCAGTTGACATAATTACCTAAAAAAAGATATTTATTGTAATGGCATCATAGGAATAATAGCTACAAAACATTAACCTTATAAACCTGGGGTATACTCTCCCACAAATACACACAGTATAAGTAGGAAGAGTGAGCATATATGTGCTAGCAAAGAAGTACACACTTAGGGAATATATATGTCAAGGTGACTCTGGCCTCTGATGTTGCAGAATCCTGATATCCTGCCTCTTCTTACGTCCTCACTGGGTATGGTGTCTCTGCTAAGAATGTCTCTATGGTCCTACTCCTCTATGCAACTCAATTTCTGACTGCCAAGACTAATTCTTACTTAAATCCATGGCTGGCTCTCTTCTTTGCTGCCAGGGGTCACACTTCTTGTAGCAGCATTAATTAACCTTTGATTAAGCCTGGAGGAATTAGAGGGTGGCTAGTCATTGGCTCCAAAAGTTTGGCTAGTCCCCTGGTGACTCTTTAAACCAAATTGAGACAATCTCTAAACATCAGAGATCTTGAGTTCTAGTGTCCTCATCAGTAAAATGAGGCTAGTTGTTCTCCCTTAGCTCTAAGATGAGATACTGTTTGTGACCAACTTGTATAGCTGGGAATCTTTGCTCAGGGCCAGCTTTGATGCCCCAAATCTCTAATTCTGGTCATGTGTCTAGTCAGCTTTGAGGCACAAATTCTCCCTCCAGATCTCACCTTTCCAGGGTGGGGTACACACCAAACCACAGCTAGAATCACAGCATTTGTATGTCTCAGGACACTCTGGGTCTTTATGACAGGGCGCAGAACAGTTGCTAATGCCTTTGAAGGGGAAGGGTGGACAAAATCCTTTCCTGACTGGAAGAGAAGACACAGGCACTCCCCATTAGATGCAGCCACCCCTGCTTTCCACCAAAATTTATTTCACCAGAATAATATCCCCCTCTTCCTTCAAAGCATGGCCCCAAGCCTTCTCCAGGACACTTTCCCTCCTTTAATTCACTGATTACTTCTCTATTCTTTTTCTAAGTCCATAGGTATTATTATATGTGATTACAGAAGTCTATATCTTCCATGTCCTTGGTACTCTGCTCCCCATCATGACCACGACCTGGCTCTCAGTACAGTCAGCTAACTAAACCAGTCTTTCCTTCCCTTTCCCATTTACTGGCCCAGTCTGGTTTCTTTCTTTGTTTCTTTTTTAGGCAATTGGGCTTAAATGACTTGCCCAGGGTCACACAGCTAGTAAGTGTCATGTTTGGTCTGAGGCTGGATTTGAACCTAGGTCCTCCTGACTTCAAGGTCAGTGGTCTATCCACTGCGCCACCTAGCTGCCCCCCTAGTCTGGTTTCTAATCTCCCCCAATCCTGTATCACCAATTCAATCCTCATTCCTGGCCTTGCATCTTCCACTGGAGGGAAGGAAAGGACTAAGATAGAACTGTAGCAAACCTTCTCAGGCAGGAGGGATGGCCCAATGGGACCCAGTGTCTGAGGGAGATCCCTTGCCAGAAGTTAAAGTAGCACAGGGAGTCCAGGGTTCTAAACCAAACTCTGCCACTTACAAACTGTATGACCTCAGTCAAATAATTTTCTTCTCTCTGGGCCTCAGCTTTTCCCTTCCACAAAAGAATCAGATTAGACACAGCTAGGCATCAAATAGATTTCAGGTGGTCTGTGAACTTGGGTGGCAAAAAAATTACATCTTCATTTTAGTAACTTGTAGCTGAAATTTAGCACTTCCTTAAGTAATGAATTAAAAAGTGACAGCAACATTAGTCTGAGGTGTTCCTATTCTCCAGACTGCCAAGGTAGCCTGTCATGTAAAAAAGGCTAAGAACTCTTGAACTAGGTGAGCTCTATGGTGTCTTGAAAGATGCAGGCAGACTCCTCCCTTTATCTCCATGCCCAGCCCTTCAGCCCCGAGTCTACCATGCTTGGCATCTCACCTGTCCCACCACAGGTGTCCTCGCAGATTTTCTTGCTGGGAAAATTGTTGACATTCCCGTTGCATCCACTGTAGAAGAAATATTCACAGGTACGTGCCTCTATGCTGTAGAACCAGCGTAAGTGAAAGTCATCACAGTTGCCCACTTCTGGTGACAGGATGCATAAATCTGGGGGGAGGATGGAAAATGAGGGATAAAGAATGGGAGCAGATTCCTTGTTTCTGTGTGCTTGCTATGGCTGCTCAGTCCCAGCCAGGGCTGTGGTACTAGGGCAGGAGAATCTAGAGACTTGAGCTCTGCCACTCCCTACTCCTGTGGTCTCAAGCAAATCCCTTTCCCTCTCCAGGCCTCCATATAAACTGAGGGTTGGTATTAACCTATAGGTTTGTACTCGTCTTTTTCTCTCTTACAGATGTCTCATGGAGATTGGATGGAATAAAAGAGGACCCTTGAAATGAAGCTGAAAATCCTCAGCAAACAGAAGGGGCTATTTGGACCATCCAAAGGGACCTTAGGGGTCATCTAGTTAAATACCTGCATTTTGTAAATGCAGGTGACAATTAGCAGACAACATGGTAAAAGAGAATCTGTTCAGTTTTCAGAGATGAATAGAAAGATGAATAATCATAACAATAATGATTCTAATAACTGCTTATGTTATTAAGAAAATACTTTCATATCCACCATCTCATTGAAGGAGCACAATCCTGACATCACAGACACTGCTGAGCAGTATGGATGGAAGGTTTGCTGACTGTCCAGGATACGGAGTCTGAAAAGAACAGTTGTCCTAGCCCTGGAACTCTCTAGCTCAGCACCCTCAGCCTTTCTGGGACCAGCAGACTGCAAAGTATCCAAGCCTTGCCTTAAGAGGCTGATGACTTTGCACAGCCCTTCCTCACTCAAATCCAATTCACTTGCGAGTCAAGACATCACCCTCCTGATATCACTGGTTCTCTTCTAGAACGAAGGGTGAGCAACAATAATCTATGAGTAGAAAACCCAGAACAAGTCCTGTTCAGGGCCTTTCTTTACCTGCCTTTGGGTCCAAGCATTTCTTCCCACAGCTGTAATGGCAGCACTTCATGGAATGCTTGCAGTTGAAATCTGTGTGACACTGGCCTTTTTCAACAAAATCACATGTTATATTTTGCCGTGGACATTTTCCTGGCTTCTCACTAGGTCCTTAGGTAGATTAGGGAGAGAAGATTGGATGACCAAAAAGATCAGATTAGATTAGATCAGAACTGGAAGAGATCTTTGAAGAGGCAGTGTGATACAGTGGAACAAGCACTGAATTTGGGGTCAGAGGACCTGAGTTCAAATCCTGATTTTTGCCATTTACTGATTGTGTGATGTTGGGAAAATCACTTAGCTCTTCTGGGTCTCAGCTCCCTCACTTATAAAATGAAAGGGTTGGATGATATGACTCATAAGGTACCTTCAAGCTCTAGATCCATGATCTTATGAACACAGAATGTCAGAGCTGTCAGGAATCTTAGAACCCAGATTTGTCAGGACTAGAATAAGAGACATAGAGAATGAATACTAGAAATGGAGGTGGGGAAGGACAATCCCCTTGCCTTCCCCCAAGAACCACCTAGTTGGATCCTGGGGAGTTTTGAGGCACTTTGTTTCTTTCTTTCAGAGGTGTCAGCCCATTCTGGGTGGCTTAGGAGAGTGCTCCTGAGAGGAGGGGCTGGGTGGAGAAGAAAGGAGCATTAGACTGTAGCCTCCCTGAGGCCAGGGACTGTCTTTTGCCTCTTTTTGTATCCCAGCATTTAGCACAGTACCCGGCACGTGCTCAGTGCTTAGTAAATGATTGATCGAGGTGCTTCAGCCCAAGACAGAATTCTTGCTCTTATATCTGGTCCTGGACCACCCAGCGGTCCAAGCACCAACAAGAGCTGTTGTCAACCTCTCAAACCATGGGACCCCCCTGGCCTGGGATGAGAAGAATTGGAATAAAGGTCCCTTGGAGGCATAAAAATAATAACAACAACCCATATTTCTATTGTATTTTTTATTTCCTCCCAATAACTTGGCAAGGTCAGCGCAGGAAATCCTGGTCCCATTTTGCAGATGAGAAAACTGACACTCATAGAAGTTAGTGGTGTTGGCCTACATCACGCTTCTAGTAAGAGACAAAGCTGGGAAACAACCCATTCTTCTAATCTCAAACCCAGAGCTTTCCCCTTTGGACCACGACATCTTGCCTCTATTTCCCCATCCCTTCATATTGCTTAGGAACTTCTGTTCCAGATTCCCTTGCCCCCAGGATGAATTAGCAACTTGATGCTAAATTGGGGAACATGCACTCCAAGTCAAGAAGCCAGAAGCACAGTGTAGCAAAAAGAGCCCAGTCCTGGGGACAAGGACACTTGGGTTGGGGTCCCTGTCGGGCTCCTCACCAACTATATTGAGTCACTGGCTAGCTCTGGGCCTCAGTTTCTTCATCTGTTAAAATGAGTGAGTTGAACTTAGTGATGCCCAAGTTCTATTCTTTCTTTTATCATTTCTACCTTCACAATATCTATCACATGCCCATCCCCTCCTCTCCGTGTAATAATAATGATAATGGTAAAAATAATAGCTAGTATTCATATGGCACTTTAAAGTGTGCAAAGGGCTTTACAAATGTTAACTCACTGATGCATGTTAACTATTATTATGCTGCCACAGGACTCTCAACACCTTTCCTTTGGATTATTTCAATAGCCTTCTAACTAGTCTACCTGCCTCAAACCTCTCCCTCCTCCAATCCATCCTCCACTCAGTTGCCAAGGGGATTTTTCTAAAGCACAAGTCTGACTCTGCCACGGTCTTCCCTAACCTGCAGGAGCTCCAGTGGTTCCCTATTACCACCAGGATTAAATAAAAAAACTTCTGTTTAAGACTTCTCACATCTGGCTACTGTCTACCTTTGCAATCTTCTTTTTATCCCCCTCCATTAACTTTCTTTTCTTTTTCAAATTTCATTTATTAATTTTTGGCTAGGCAATGGGGTTAAGTGACTTTCCTAGGGTCACACAGCTAGTAAGTGTTACGTTGCTGAGGCTGGATTTGAACTCAGGTCCTCCTGAATCCAGGGCTGGTGCTCTATGCACTGTGCCACCTAGCTGTCTCTCCATGAACTTTCTAATCCAACTACTATCCTACTTACAGTTTCTCAAACTGGACAATTCATCTCTTCTCTTCTTGCTTTTTCCCTGGCTCTCCCCCATGCCTTGGAATGTTCTTCTACTTCATATCTGCCTCTGGCTCCCCTGGCTTCCGTGAAGACTTGGCTCCAATCCTAAATTCTTCAAAGGACCCTTTCCCAGGTCTCTCTTCACCCCTCTTCTTCTGCCCACTGTTAAGACCTTCTCTTTTCAGGTTACCTTCATATATTCTGAATATATCTTGTATATAACTGGATATTTATATTTTGACTCCCCTGTTAGAATGCAGATGCCCTGAGGGCAAGGATTGTGGAGTTTTATGTTTATTTTTCCTCTCTTTGTAGCTCCAGTTCTTATCCCAGTGCCTTACACATAGAAAACATTTAATGAATGATTATTGACTGACTGGCATTCTGTTAATATTCTGTGAGTTACAGATGGGAGTCCTGGCTTCAAAAGATAGGTTCTTTCTTGAATTCTGGGACTTTTAGTAGATGGGGCCATCCCAGATGCCCCATATCCACCCACCTGGGTCGGAAAACTTGAAACACCTACAAACATCACACATTTTGTGTTCTCTCCCCATTCCCTCCTACATCTAAAAGGGAACTGTTTTTATAGGGTGCAATTTCAGAAGCCCCAGGAAGTTCCCAATAATCACTCAAATCCTTTCCACCAACTGGCTGACCTAAAATCCTACTATTTTAACTTAACCTCTAGCTGAAGACCTAATCTTTGTACAAAAGCAAAGAGCCCTGAAAATGGTTCCCCTCTATGCTGTTCTCAATCATTGATGCTTTAGTGTGAATAAAGTCTCTGAGAGCAGATGTGATGAGTTCTGATGGAAGGAAAGGAAAGATGGAGAGAGCCCTAGGGCAAGACAGTATCCCCAAGGAGGGAAAAGAGCACAGAGGGTAGAAATCAGCAATGGCAACTCTAATTTTTCCATTTGCAAAGTACTTTTCTCAAGGGTGAAGTCAAAATGGTAGAGGAAGGGGTAGCAACTTTGCCTCAGTTCCCTCTTCTACAACAACCTAGAAAATGCACCAGACCTAATTCTTAGTGAGGTAGTCAAGCAAAAGTCACCATAAATTATTTTTTCTAGGACTAAGGGCAGCTTAGGAAGACAGAAAGAGAGGTTTGTGGACACTGGGGTGGGGGACAGCTAGGAGCACAGCACAGAAGCTAAAGCAACATTGGGCTCTGGTGACGGCAGCAGCAGTAGGGAGCAACCCAGCACTCAGTGATGGCAAGGGGACCAAGCACCTGGGCAGAAAGAGATCCCAGGGGATCCCTGTACTATCACTGGAAGCAGGAATAAGTGTCATCTGGCAGCTCTGTTTCCAATTACTCAGTTCTGGGACACAATTTCAAGCTGGAGAGGAGAGGTCATGGTCACAAAAGGATCAAAGGCTTTGGCTGTATAAGGAGCAGACCAGGAGGGTACAGAACAGACCACTTCCTGGATCAAACCAGATTGAAGCACTAAAAAACTTACAGGCACCCAGACTGAACTGTGAAAATAACTGAAGGACATAAAAGGCAGCTCAGGCCAGACATTTCCTCATGAGTGAGCAGAACCCAACTCTAACAAAAAGTCCAAAGTCAAGAAATAGGCTGGACTCATGAACAAACAACAAAAAAAGTACCTGCCCATGAAAAGCTTAGTTACAACAACAAAAAAAGTACCTGACCATAAAAAGTTATAGTTACAGGGAAACTCAAGTCAAGAACTCAAAAGAAGACAATACTTGAAAATATCTATAAGTAAAGCCTGAAAGAAAAATGCAGATTGGACACACATCCAACAAGAATTCTTAGAAAAGCTAAAGAAAATAATTTTTTAAAATAGCAATTTTTAAAAAATTAAATGAGAAAAGTAGAGGGAACATTGGAAAAAGAAATTAGGGCAATTCAAGAAAAGTGTGGAAAGAGAATTAACAGCTTTGTAAAAGAGGCCCAAAAATATTGAAGGAAATAACTTTTTAAAAATCAGAATTGGACAAATGATTTTTTAAAAAAGTACAAAATCTAACTAAAGAAAATAGTTTCTTAAAAATTAGAACTAGTTAAATGGAAATTAGCGACTTCACAAGACATCAAGAAACAATAAAACAAAGTCAAAGGGCTGAAAAAAGAACATATGAAATATCTCATAGAAAAATAACTGGAAAAATCTGGAAAATAGATTGAGGAGAGATAACTTTAAAATTATTGATAAAGTTGATAAAAATATTGATAAAAATACTATGAATTTCATGAACAAAAACAGAGCCTGGACATTGTTTTTCAAGAAATTATAAAGGAAAATGGCCCAGATATCTTAGAATCAGAAGGCAAAGCAGATATTGAAAGAATCTGATCACTTCCTGAAAGAAATTCCAAAATGAAAACTGAAGAAATATTATGACCTAAATCCAGAACTCCCAGGTAAAGGAGAAAAGGTTGAAAGCAGCCAGAAAGAAATAATCTAAATACCTTGGAGCCACAGTCAGGATCACACAAGATTTAGTGACTACCACTCTAAAGAAGTGAGGACTTGGAAATATGATATTCCAGAAGGCATAGAACAACCTACCCAGTAAATTAAAGTATAATCCTGCAGGGGAAAAATGGATATTTAATGAAACAGAAGGCTTTAAAGCATTCTTTATGAAAAGACCAGAATTGAGTAGAAATTTTGACATTCAAACACAAGTCTCATGAGAATCATAAAAAGGTAAACATGAGTGAGAAATCATAAAGGACTAAACAAGGTTAAACTGTTTACATTCCTATATGGGAAGAGGATGCATGTAGAAACTAAGAACTTTGTCATCACTAGGGCAGTTAGAGAGAGTCTTCTTAGAGTGCATGGTCATGAGTCTATTATGTTGGGATGATCTCAAATGAATAATGGAAGGGTGAGAAAGAGGGATGAACTGGGAGAAGGTGGAAGGAAGAAGAATGGGGAAAGTATCTTACATAAATGAGGTGCACAAAGAAGAGTTTACACCATGGATGGGAGAATGGAGGATGGGAGCAGGCAATACTTGAACTTCACTCTCATTTGAACTGGTTCAAAGAGGGAAGAATAAATGCACACACAGTTGGGTAGAGAATTTCCTTTTATGCAGTAAGGAGGTAGGAGGGAAAGGGGCTCAGAGGAAGGATGGGGATTAAGAAACAGGGTAAAGTAAGGGAGGCAGTGGTCAAAGCAAAATAGGTTCTTGAGGAGGGGACAGGATAAAAAAGAGAAGGTTAAATATAAAATAACAGGATGGAGGAGAATACACTGCTAGCACTCATATTTGTGAATATAAATGGGATGAACTCACTTATAAAATGGAAGAGAATAATAGAATGGATTAGAAAGCCAATAACGTGTTGTTTACATGAAACACACTTGAAATAGAAAAGTACACACAGAGTTAAAATAAGGAGCTGGAGTAGAATCTATTACGCTTCATCTGAAGTAAAAAAAAAAAAAGGTAGGGGTATAAATTATGATCTCAGACAAAGCAAAAGCAAAAATAAACCTAATAAAAAGATAATCAGGGAAACTACATTTTGCTTAAAGATACCACAGACCACAAATTAATATCAATATTGATAGCAACCAATTTTTTAAAGGAAAAGCTGAATGAGTTACAGAAAGAAATGAGCAGTAAAACTATACTAGTGGGGGGCCTCAATTTATTCCTCTCATACCCAGGTAAATCTAACCATAAAAACCATAAAAAATATTCTGGAGAATATTGAAGGGAAAAGAAAGGAGTATACCTATTTTTCAACTGTACATGGCACCTATACAAAAATTAACCAAGTATTAGGACATAAAAATCTCACAAACAAATTCAGAAGAGCAAAAAATATTAAATGCGTCTTTTTCTGACCATAATGCAATAAAATTGCATTTGATAAAGTGTCTTTGACCCTTAATATGTGAACATAATTACAAAACACTTCATGCAAATAAAGATATTTAAATAACTGGAGAAATATTAATCCTCATAGCTGGGCCAAACCACTATAGTAAAATGACAGTATTGCCTAAATTAATTTACTTATTCAGTGTCATGCCAGTCAAACTACCAGAGAATTATTTTATAGAGCTAGAAAAAATAATAACAAAATTCTTCTGGAGGAACAAAAGGCCAAGAATATCAAAGGAATCAGTGGAAAAAATGTTAATAAAGGGGACCTACCAGTATCAGATCTCAAACTATGCTACAAAATTTAATATTAACTATCTATTATATTATGTACTATAAAATTTAATTCAATGATACTATAAATATAAAATAATCAAAACAATTTGGTACTGGATAAGAAAAATAGTAGCTGATCAATGGAACAGATTAGTACACAATATAAAGCAACAAATGAGCACATTAACTGAATGTTTGATAAATCTAAATTCCAGCTTCTGGGCAAGAACTCACTGTTTGACAAAAACTTCTGGGAAAACTGAAAAGTAATCTGTCAGAAAATAAACATAGACCAACATTCACATCATATACCAAGATAAGTCAAAATGGTTACATGATTTAGCTATAAAGGATGATATCATAAGGAAATTACTGGAGTATGGAAGAAATTACTTGTCAGTTCTATGGTTAGGGGAAGAGTTCATGATGAAAGAAGAGATAGAGAGGTTCACAGAAAGTAAAATAGCTAATAAAGTTTTTGCACATATAAAACCAATGCAGTTAAAATGAGAAGAAAAGCAGGAAACTAGGGAAACATCTTCAGAGCACATTTCTCTGATAAAGGTCTCATGTCTCAAATATATAGGGAATTGAGCCAAATTTATAAGAATAAGAACCATTCCCCTATTGATAAATGGTCAAGAGATATAAATAAGCAGTTTTAATAAGAAGAAATCAAAGTAATCAACAGTCATACAAAAATTCTCTAAATCACGAATAATTGAAGAAATGCAAATTAAAATAACTCTGAGGTACCACCTCACTCCCATAATATTGGTTAAGATGATAGAAAAGAGAAACGACAATTCCTGGAGGGAATGTGGGAAAATAGGGACAATAACGAACTGTTGGTGAAGCTGTGAACAAGTACAACCATTATGGAGAGCAATTGGAACTATGCCAAAAAATCTAGAAAAACGTTGCATGCCTTTTGACTTAACAATATCAGTACTAGGTCTACACCCCAAAGAGATTAAATAAAAAAGGGAAAGGACTCATGTGTATAAAAATATTTACAGTACTTTTTGTGATGGCAAAGAATTGGAAACTGAGAAAATGCCCATCAACTGGGGAATGACTATATGGGTTATGATATGTGAATGTGATGGAAAAGTATTGTGTTATAAGAATGATGAAGGGTATTATTTCAGAAAAACCTAGGAGGACTTGAATGAACCAATATAAAGTAAAGTGAGCAGAATCAGGAGAACAATTTACACAGTAACAGAAATATTGTGAAGATAATCAACTGTGGGAGATTTAGTAACTCTGATCAATACACTAACAGGGGAGACAACATGCAAACAACTACATATAAATGAGATATAAACAGGATAGAGGAAGGCAATCTCATAGGAGAAAGCACTAACTGCTTAGGACTAGTGGAGGCAGGAAAAACCTTCTTTGACAAAAGGTAGGATTTTGACCTGAGTCTTGAAGTAAGTCAGAGAAACCAGGAGAGCTGAGGAGAGAGAGTATTTCAAGCATGGGGGAAAGCCAGTGCAAATGTAAGAAGTTGAGAGATAGGGTACAGACATGGTGGGAGAGCCTGCTTCCATGGTTTACCCCCATAGAGACCATCATCAGGGCCTCTTAGGAACTTAAGGGTAGCTAGGCGGCAAAGTGGATAGAGCATTGGGACTGGAGTCAGGAAGACCTGAGTTCTACTAGCTGTGTGGCCCTTAAACTCTGTTTGCCTCAGTTTCCTCATTTGAAAAATGAGGATAATAAGAGGGTTCCCATGAGGACGAGATGAGATATATGTAAAGCCTTTGGTACAGTGCCTACTAGATAGTAGCTGCTATATAAATGCTTATTCCCTTCCTTTGCCATTCCCCTTCTAGAGGAATGGAATGCAACTGTCCTGTGGGTCTCTCTGGGTGGTAGGTTACCTTCTCTTGGCAGTGGGGAGGTCCTGTGTCACTCTTGCTCTCCCTGGTTTGGGTATTCTTTTGTCTCAAATGTGCTTCACCATACCACCCTCCCTCCAATTTTCACTGGATGAAATTCTACCTAGTTGTGACTCTGATTCTAAGAATCAGACTCAAGCCTTCTGATGTTTGACCTGGGCAGTAACAACCTTTCCCCTCAGATTTCATTTAGTCCTTTATCATTTGTCATATATATGGTGTATCACATTTCTCTGTTGATGTCCCTTCATAGTCTGTGGGCCTTAGTGGCCATCTACCCTGTCCATGAGCAAGTCCTCTACCTGTAATTCTCAGCCACAGGCCAGTCCTCAACCCACACCCAAGGTGACTTGCCCCTGGGAAATGTCATCAGGACAGTACAGAGGGTGAGCATTGTCTTCCTTGCGCCTACTTGTTGGTCTCTTAAAGGTCAAAGTAGACATCAATTCCAAGGCGAGAATGAGGATCAGGAAGATGGTGATGATAGACCTCCAAATCCATGTGCAGCTGGGACTGAGGATAAAGCAGAGAGAAGAGAGTTAGGAAGAGACTCAAGCCTGTGAAAATGTCCTGAAGGCAAGAATTGTATGTGCATATGACTTATTGTGGGTATATGGTGACTGTCTGTTACTGTGTGTGGTAAGGGGACAGCCTGCTATAGTGAAAAGAGCAAAGAATTTAAAGTCAGAGGTCCTGGGTTCTTCTGACTGCTACTTATGATTTTTGTGGCATTGGGAAAGTTACTTAACCACTCTAGGTCTTTTCTTCTTCATCTGCAAAATGGGCTGATCTCTAACGTCCCTTCCAGCTCTGATATTCTCTGATCCTATAAAAAATAAGACTAATAGTATTGGGGAACAGTGATCCTCAATGTTTGGTGAGGGAGGGACCAGGTGTGAATTGGAAGAGGAATGAGATTTAGGTGGGCCTAGGGAGAGGAGGAACAAAGCCTGAGGCATCTAGCCATGGTGCTGAATCAGGACCACAGGCTCTGTGTATTTCTGTAAGGATACTAAGACTTGGAAGATGTGATGACCCCTCTCCATTACCTTTAGAATAAAATAGAATAAAATATTAGTGATTCAACCTGGCATTCAAAGCCCTCAGTCATGTGGCCTTTGCCTGCCTTTTTAGTCTCGTTTCCTATTAGTCTCCTTCATGAATCCAAAGTTCCAGCCATACTGCTGACTTTATCCTTTGCCTCCTACCCCTATGAATTAATGCAAGCCTCCTCCCTTGCCTGGAATGCACTCCCTCCTTTTGTCTTTTAGATGAGACCCTTCTCTTCCTTCCAGGCCCAACCTGGTGCCACTTATCTCGTTTTTTCCCCAGTCTCTTATCCCATTTTGTTTGACAGTATCCTATGCTCATGGGGAAGATGGGGTGGGACTGCATTTCTGCTTTTATTTTTATAGCAAACTCCCTCTATCAATGGTTTTGTGATTCATAGTTATTTGGAATGCTGAAAGGTTAAGTACAAAGGATCACTGATTTATAGATGTTAGAGAACTTACAGGTCATCTAGTTCAGTTACTTCCCAAGGATCACAAAATCAGCCCATGTCAGAGGCAAGATTTGAACCCAGGTCTTCCTAATTCTAAGACCATCCCTCTATCCACTCTTCACTCTGCCTTCTAACTTGAATCATGATTATTTGTGAGCATTTTGTATACATATTTGTGGACATTGTCTTATCTTCAACTAGAGTGCATGCTCCTTGGGGGCAGGGACTGGGTCATTTTTTTTTAAAGCTTTGTATCCCCCAAGAGCCTAGCATGGAGCCTTGTATACTGTAGCCTAGCACAGTGATCTATGAACAAAATGTTACTAATAAAATATTTATTGCAATGCATTGCATAACAGTCACTGCAAAATTTTAATTCAGGCTATCCCCTGCTAGTAATAACAACAACATCACATTTATATCATATTTAAGGTCTACAAGTTGATTTTTCCAAGATAATCCTGTGAAGTGGGGGAATAACAGCAATAATGATGATGATAATAATTATTATGAGTATTATAATTTTGATTGAACCTATGATTTCATCAAAGTAGAGTGCTCTTGGTGAGGAAGTTCCATTACCAATAAAAGCAACATCTTCTCTGCAATAGAGTCTTAGAGAGTTGTCTGTGAAATTATTATCATCCATATTTTACAGATAAGGAATCTATGATTTTACAAAGGTAAGTGGTTTGCAGATTCACTCAGTGAGTAAATGTCCTAGATGGCATTTTAACTCAGGTCTCAAATCTTTGAACTTTGTGGCTCTAATTCTTTGTCCTAGAAATTGCTATCATTTTACCTTGTTTTCCTTTAAGTATTAGTAAAAATCCTATTGTGTAACCCAATCCCCATCTTGGGCACACTAAATGGAAGAAAGGGAAGCCTGAACTGAACCCGAAGAAATTATAGACTTGGAGCTGAAAGGGACTGTGGACGTCCCTTAGTGGAAGCCCATGCTTCGTTCCTCTCCTGACTGGGCTTATGACTCTCTTTGGGCTCAGCTTCTAACTCTTCTAACTCCATGGCCCCACTGACTTCTCACACTGGAACATCCCTTTGACACCCTGGCCCCCTTCTCCAATTGGGGAGTTTCTTCAAAGGCTTCCATTTTGGGGATAGACGTACACTGGCCATGCTCCATTCTTCTCCCAGCTATATTTCTGACTCTCCAGAGTCTCACCATGGCCCTGCTCCAGTTCATTCTCTACCTTATCTCCCCCTTTTAGTTCCCTTTTTTGTGCTATCTTCCTGCATTAGAAAGCAAGCTTCTTGAGGGCAGCCACTGGACTTCTTTGCTTGTATCTCTAGCATTTAGGTGGTACCTGGAACATAGTAAGGACTTCATAAATGATTGTTCCCTGCTTGTGCACCCCCATTTTACAGAGGAAATTGAGTCCAGAGAAGTTCAGTGATTTGCTCAAAGTCATAGTTAGGAAGAAGCAGAGCTGGATTTGAAACCCAGGACCCCTTGCTTCAAATACAACATTCTAGGCACTGGACTACATCCTTTCATCCCTGAGAGCAATATTTCAGTTGATGGCAGTAAGAGAAATCAATGTATCAATTACTCATTTATTAAGTGCCTACTATATGTCAGGCTCCCTACTAGGTGTAGGGATGAAAAGTTGTCGTTCAGTCATGTTTGATTCTTTGTGATCCCATTGGGGATTTTATTGGCAAAGATACTGGAGTTTGCCATTTCCTTCTCTAGCTCATTTTATAGATGAGAGAGCTGACGCAAACAGAGTTAAGTGACTTGCCCAGGGTCACACAGCTAGTAAGTATCTGAGGCCAGATTTGAATTCAGAAAGATGAGTTCTGACTTTAGGCCTAGCAGGCTATCCACTGTGCCACCGAGTTGCTTTGGGGAATAAAAAGACAAAGGTGAAAAAGTGCCTGCCTTCAAGGAGCTTACCATCAAGCCAGGAACATCAATGTACAAATATAGGTATATACACAAAATAGATACAAGGTCAATTTGGGGGGCTGGCACTAACAGATGGGGGATCAAGAAAAGATGCATAGAAGGTGGTGCTTGAGCTGAATCTTCCAGAAAACTAAGGATTCTAAGAGTTTGAGAAAAACCTTGAGGTGGCTGTGGCCCAGGGACTTGGGGGACCATCCAGAAAAGGAATAGAAAAAGCCCAGAAAATAGGGTCAAAGAACCTGCTGGTTCTGTGACCTAGATGACCTTGGTCAGGTCACTTGACTTCTGTGGCTAACTGTTCTCTTCCACAAAATGAGGAGTTTGCACTGAATGAACTCCAGGGTCCCCTGAAGCATTAAATCCTATGGTCCCAAGGGAGGCAGAGTCAGCTGGGGCTCGATCTGGCAAACTGCCTTCCTCTTTGGGCTGCTTTCCTCTTGAAGCCCTCCCCCTACCTTCTTCCCTCAACAGCCCACACTAAACTCCAAGTCTTCCAGGCCTCAAGGCAGAGATGCTTGGCAGATCACAGACTCTTGCCAAGCACAGGCTGATCTTACGGATCTGCCCCCAGGATTCTGGGGATGTGAGGGCCCCCAACACCACAATGGTAGACAGATCACAGATGATTTAGAGCAGAAACAAATCTTAGAGACCTTCTAGTCCAACCCGAAACTGAGTGAAAGGAGAAATAATTTGGCTAAAATTACCTACCTGGTATCTTTTCTAATTAACCTTGTCAATTAAGGGAAGGGAAAAAGCATTTATTAAACATCAACTGCGTGCCAGGCACTGGACTAAATGCTTTATAAATATTCTATCCTTTGATCCTAACAACAACACTAAGAAGAAGGTGCTATTATAATCTCCATTTTATAATTGAAGAAACTGAGGCAGATAAAGGTTAAATGACTTGCCCAGGGTCACACAGCTAGTTAAGTGTCAGAGCAGATTTGAACTCAGGTCTTTCTGACTCCAGGCCCAGTATCTATCCACTGTACCACCTGTTTCCTTTAGTATAGGGATTATTAACCTTTTTGTGCCCTAGATCCCTTTAGTAGGCTGGTGAAGCTTACAGATTCAGAGGAGAGTCTCAGAATAATTTTAGATGCATAAAATAAAATATGGGAGAGTGCAGAAGGAACCAATTATAATGAAGTAGTTATCAAAACATTTTTTAGAAACTCAAGTTCACAGACCCCAGGGTTAAAACCCTGCTTTAAAGACCTTTGGAATCAGGCCTAGTCTGGAGAAATTAAGCAAATTGTCCAAAGTTACAGAAGGGGTAGATGGCAGAATCAAGATTTGAATCCAGGTTTTCTGACTCCAAACTCAGGGCCCTTCTCATGACACCATATTGCCCCAGATGCTTCTGGGTACTTTCACTTCTCTTAAAGTAGTGGAAAATCCAAATTATCAGGATTGATTGGGCCACCTCCAGAAGGATCCTCCAAAAAATGGCAGAATCAAAACTTTTCTTAGGGGGAGGGGAAATCTTTCCCCAAAAGGTACGTGTCTTTGACCAAAAATGGCAGAATCAATAAAACTTTTTTAGGGGGAGGGGCAATCTTTCCCATGAAGGTACATCTTTGACATGTACCCACTGATTTCCCTTGTCATCTCTCCTGGTGCCACCTGACTTAAGCCCTGCTAATGACCTAATGACCTCATTATTTACAGGGTGTGATTGTTGCCTCCAAATGATTACTCATTCTTTCCCCACCATCCATTCTGCTGTCCATTCAGATCCATCCAGACTCCTCTGTGAGTGACCTGAACTATCTAAGCCTGACTGTTTCCACCTCTTAAGGGTTAGAATTTTCAAAGGGGAGCCTAGGCTTAATGGGCAGCCCAAAGATTGAATATCTAATGGGAAGCCTCTAGGCTCAGCAGAAAGGTAGTTAGGATCTACCCAAACCAAGGGTTGACTAAGGTGAAGGTGGTTACACACCATGGGAATTTCATACTCTGCCGGTGAGTAAAGCAGGTACTCCTTACAGGTCCAAGGCAACTTCTATAGCTGAAAGAAAAATCTCATCCTAGATTTCCTTTCCTCTGTTGGCTCAGGTTGCCAGTGTGGTC